GTCTGATGGGCCATTACAATGCACCTCACTTTTTAATTTTTTCTTTTTTTTTTTATTTATTATATTGTCATAAGATTACATACTGTAACATTCAACTCTATACAAAGTGCTGTGGTAGCATTTATATCCAACACCTCAACCCAGTGTTAAGGTGTGAATATGACACTTTTAGTTTTCAATATGCCCTTGTGTTAAGCCTGCACTCACCAATGCTGTGAAATGCAGCTCAATACACCTGGTGTGAATGGGCCCTAAAGCTAGATTAACACTGCTGCCATCTGACTTTCCCTGTAATTATGTAGTTCTAAAGGGATGCGATTGAGTGTGGCTTGCATATTCTATGGCGACAATATCACACTGGAATTGCACAAAAGTAGCACAGGAACCTTTTTCAAAAATTGCTCCATGCTGAGTCGCATTGCTGAGAATGGGCACCATTAAAAACAATGTGATTTCCATTGTCATGAGATTCACCCCACAACATAATAATGTTCACCTATATAAGCATTATCATTATTTATAGGTTCTTGTAAATGTAGATATTGTGTGCTTGAAAATTCTTCTAGCAATTTGCATTGCCCTATAGTCCAATTATAATTTTCTTAAAATATTAAATATAGCGAATATACACGTTCTATTGTTGAATAAAGCAAACCATAAATGCTGTGGAGTAAACAGCAGATGTTAAGATATATGGTTGGCTGGTTCCCTCTACAGATCTGCCTTTGTACTGCATAGTATACTGAAAATCTGAACGACCTAATTCCAGCATTTGCCTAGGTATTTATTACAGGTATTTATATAAAGCCAACAATTATGCAGCTGTTTACATACTGTACATTCACATCAGTCCCTGCCCACAAGGAGTTTACAATCTAAGATCCCTATCTCACATACACACACATACTAGGGCCAGTTTAGATAGGAGCCAATTAACCTACCAGCATGTCTAGAGTTTGGGAGGAAACCTAGAAGCATATACTTGCCTTCATTTTGCTGCTCCATTAGAGAAGATATGAGGCCTCTTGGCCTTGGAGGAAGCACTGAAAATGCAGGTGGCAAGATCTTACAGCTGGAATCTGTGAGACATGTAAGAAGCTGGTAGGTAGATCACCATTGTTCACCCCTAAAAATGTATTCACTTGGAGTGTCATGAACCTTTAAACTGTATGTCAAAGAAAAAACTTTTGGAGCACTGGCTGTCGGCCACCCAGCAGAACATTCCTCTCTGGCTGGAGCTCCCTTCCTTTTTCCTTCAGTGACAAAGTGCAGAGGGATGGGAGGACAATGGAGGACTTTGATTGGCTGCAATGGGGCCAGGAGGACTGTGACTGGCTGCCACCATGACCAAAGAATAACTCTGCCCAAGCAGAGGACATAAAGAGCCTGGGAACAGGGCTCAGGGGAAAATGTATACTGAAACTCATAAGCTGCTGTGTGCCCAGAGGACATTGTAGGCCTGAGCAAGGTATAAGCAGGTGCAGGCCTTCCAATGACCTGTAGGTAGCTTGGAGTGTAATTACCCTTTAAACTGTATGTCAAGCAAAAATCTTTTGGAGCACCGGCCTTCAGCCCCTTTAAGGCACCCAGCAGAACATTACTCCCTGGCTGCAGCTCGTTTCCTCTCCCTTTCAGTGACAGAGTGCAAAGGGATGGGAGGACACTGAAGGACTCGGATTGGGTGCCACCGGGCAGGCATGGCTCTGACTGGCTGCCACCATGACCGAAGGATAACTCTTCCCTAGTAGAGAACATAAAGAGGCTGGATACAGGGTTCAGGGGAAAATGTCTGCTGTGACTCAGGAGCTGCTGTGTTCCCAGAGGACATTGTGGTCCTGAGCTGAGTGTTGGCAGGTGCAGGCATTCCTCTGACCTGCAGTTAGCACTGTGCCAGGGGTTTGTTAAGGGAATTGTCCCCCTATGGACTCCATCAGCTGTCTGATTGGATGCTGAAATCTCTAGACCTTAACCAGCCATCTTGACAAGGAACCTTATAAAAAGGATGCCTACACCATTTGGGTGCACATGGAGAAAGTGGTAGGTCAAGGACAGATACCCATTGGTTAGGGAAAGAGAGTAGCGTAGGGTAAGGTCCCTATTGAGTTGGACAGCATTGGGAGGGAACTCCTGCAGTGTGGGGTACTGCTGTCTGGTGCCTGGAACAGGAGTGTGAAGTCCCTTCATACAGTGAAGATAGTGCCACCCTGACACATCATATACCGCCAACCCTCCAACAGAAGCTGTCAGGGATGCGGGTATGACCAGAAGTGTGTGGACTGACACAGAGAAACGTAGGCTTCAGATATGGTATAAATAAGACAATTTATTAAGACTAACAATACAAATATAAACGCAGTGCACCAAACCCCAAGCTAACACAAATACATACAACAAGGTGAAACAAACCCAAACCTAAACTGATATAGATACACAAGTACATACACATATAGAGCACAACGTAGTCAGGCAGGCCGGGTCGATCACTATTGGGCAGGTAGGTACAGGAGGAGCAGGCGGAGAGTAGTCAGGTCCCGAGCCGGGTACAGCAACTAACGGACAGGTAGGTACAGGGGGTCAGGCAGAGAATGGTCAGGGTCACAAGCCAGGGATCAAACAGGAGAAGTCAGCAGAGGTCAGGATCAGGCAGGGTCGGCAACAAGTCAGGCAGAAACAGGAACAGGAATGCAGGTTACAAGATACAGGTGCCCATGGAAAAACACACACCAAGGCACAGACTGCAGGTCTGGCCATCCCTTAAATACACCACCTGCAATCAGCCCCAGGTGATGGCTAATTGCCGAAGTGAACCTCTGGTTGTTGAGAGCACCCGCTGGCCAGCCCTGGTACTGCAGCCCACAAGGCAGGTGAGTCCCACCACTATTGGCAAGTCCATTCCTGACAGAAGCCATCTTCTAGTATCACAAGTTGAAAACAGAACATATTTTTATATTAAAATTTTTGGATAGCTTTATACTGGTGCACACAAAACTGTTTATGTTGATCCTGGCAACCTGTATACATTAAAGGTTTACCTTAGTTTACCTTTCATAACATGTTACACCGATATTCATGGCCCCCTCTCCCCCACTTTGACAGCTGGCGGGGGGAGCTCGCACCTGTTCACCCTTTATGGAACAGAGTAATTTTTACATATTTGCTATGCACCTGTTTATTCAGTGATAACTTTGTCATTACTAAAGATAACATAAATCCTGTATAATAATAATAATGTAACACAAATATTGTTATTTTTTTAAGGACAAACAAGGCTTTATTATATTATACTATATTATTTTTTTTGCACAATCCTTAGACAATTAAATGTAACAAAACTAAAAAAATTAACTTTTTCTTATTTTGAGCAGTGTTAGTTTAAAAATAAATAGTGTTACTGCACATTTTAGTCTGTAATTTGTCCTGTTTAAAATGACACTAAAATGAAGATTCTGGAACAAAGAATTGAAAAGCTATTTGCATTTATTTTTTTCAATTTTGCGCTTTTTCTCAATGTAAAATGTGTAAATATATGTTAAAAGGTGTAAAAATATTAATGAACAAAGCAAACAAAAAGTTTTAATTATTAATAGTTTATAAAATAGAAATGAGCAAAAAAAATTCAGCAGGAAAATAATAATTACATAGAGACGTAGAAAAAGGAGTCAATTAGGGCTGATTAGAGTAAATGAAGGGTTAAACAGAGGAACATTACATTTAAAAAAAAATACTTTTTTTCACTTTACAGGTTCCTTTTAACTGACTTCATCTGCAGATCAAAGTTCATCCATTTAAACTGTAGATGAATGAACAGAAAGATACAAAATAAAACTGTTTCTTTTTATCTTTCTTTTTTAGTGGCTGAGAAATGTTGTTGATAAACATTGTCAGGCTGCTTTTTTTTTGACAGCTCCCATTGTGGGACTTGTTTACACTTCACCTGTCAGCTGGGGAACCCCATTGACACCTGAAGTAGTCATTGGTTAAGGACCTGATGGCTCCGCTCCTTAACAACCAGCAATTGCCAGCTTTTCTTTTTTTGTCGGCTTTTTTTGTTTACATTTCAGCTGTCCCACTGACAGCTGAAAGAACCCAAGCCTGATGGTATTGGTTTCAGGTATCGGAGCATTTGCACGAATACAGATACTTGTGCAAATGCTTAGTACCGACACCAGTACTGATACTGGTATCAGTATCGGGGCAATACTAGTTCTAAGCCCTCCCCATTCTATCCAAAACTAAGTAAACAAGTGTTATCTGGATATACACTATAATGTATAAACAGTTAAAAAGAAAGTTGTATTTTGCAATATATCTTTGTGGTCTGATAGCCTTACAAACACTTGTTAGAGAAACAATCCACAGTGCAGTGATGGTAGCAGTTAATGTATTTATTTAGAGATGCTTACAACATAGACTTAAGATATTACTTTATGTAGAAAGGCCATGAGTGAAGTGTCAATAGGGATGATCCCTGTAAAGATGGAGATCCAGCACAGGTACAAAATGGAGTCAGGTCTAGTTAGGAATAGAGGCTGGAGGACTTATTAACTTGTTTTCAGTTCTGAGTTGCACTCAGATGTTTTTAACTTTAGTGGTGGAAAAGAGATGATATGTTCTTTCACATTGACAATCCACACTGCAGTGATGGTAGCAATTAATGTATTTATTTAGAGATGCTTACAACATAGACTTAAGATATTACTTTATGTAGAAAGGCCATGAGTGAAGTATCAATAGGGATGATCCCTGTAAAGATGGAGATCCAGGAGGGTACAAAATGGAGTCAGGTCTAGTTAGGAATATAGACTGGATGACTTATTAACTTGTTTTCAGTTCTGAGTTGCATTCAGATGCTTTTAACTTTAATGTTGGGAAGAGATGATATGTTATTTCACATTGACAATCCACACTGCAGTGCTGGTAGCAGTTAATATATTTATTTAGAGATGCTTACAACATAAACTTAAGATATTACTTTATGTAGAAATGCCATGAGTGGGGTATCAATACGGATGATCTCTGACATGCTCCATAATTGCCATTAGTGCCAACCATGTCTCCTCAGCTGTAGGTAGGATTTGCTCAGCAGGAAGGAGGAAGCCATATTTCCCAGTATCTCGTAACTCAAAGGTGTAGGAATATTTTATGCCGTTATCATATGCCCAGTCAGTTGTTGTGCCATCCGCCTGATCTATATAGGACACAGTAAGGTAGGAACATTACAACCCTGCTTACATTACTGTCAAATATGTGTGATAAGCATTTATACCCAGTTTTGTGATGCAAACACACAAGGAAGAGTTATAAAGCTAGGCACAGTATATATTGGGGAATGATTTTGTTTCAGTGACAGCTGAAACTCAGTTATCTATAGATTTGTAACATTTTTCTTTTATTTTCCATCCATGCACCACTTGCTGATGTAGAGTTTCATTGCACATTGTGAGCTTCTTACAATATGCATCAGAAGCCAAAGCAATTCACAGAGCCCTCCCAATTTCCAGGCTGGAGGAAATTCAGCACCATATAACCCTTCCCCCCCAGCCTTATTGTCTGGGTCCCCCCTTTTATTAAGTGGATTTTTTTTCTTTCAAACATAAGGGCTCAACGATATATGTGAGGGTTACCTAGGGTGGTCTGCAGGCAAATGCCACCTACATACGAATGCCCACTCCTCCAGACTGACATTCATTCATCAAGGAATTTTCATATTTACATAATTCATCCAGAAGCCAGCCTACTACTGGCATCAGGGCTGAGGACTCTTTGAGAGATATACAGAGACAGGATACTATGATATTTTTAAGCAGCACCCTGCCATCCCCTCCCACCAGCCATGATCAGCCTGTACGGCATAGAGAAGCATAGTTAGAGAGTACGTGTATAACATAATATATGTAATGTAATGAATCAGAAAATTCATTAGCATGTTGATAATAGGGAGGGATGAACTTAGGAAGACAAAATTTAAGCAGAATTAACTTCTTAAGTTGGTAAAGCTGTTATTAGAGTGAGTATGTTTACAGCAGAAGCTGTAAGCAAATAGTACATTTGTTTTAGCTTTTGAAACAAATGAGCTTAGATGTTAAATACTTTAGGCAGCAAAGTGTAGGGTATGAAGTACAATTATCTACATCAACAAATTAGATTTTACTTTACCAAAACCTGACAGTAAAAGTTGGGTTTTCATAGGTTCCTAGAGAATTAACTCTTTACACTTTGCTTTTTGTATTGCTGCATAAACCTGAAAACTTGACTGCTCTAGTTCCACACAGCCTCCCATACTGTAAGTGCTGGAATACATTACTTAACTGTCACCCTTTTCATCCACATTTGCATGCCACAACTTCTCTATGTTAAGATCAGTCATTTATAAGCTCTTAACTGGATTTACCATGCACAATTTCCTGTGTGACTACTTACAAATGGTTGCAATGGTGGTGCCATATCTATACTGAGTTCCATGTAAAGATGATAAAGCAGCAGCTGCTTCTTTGGCCAATTCATTCTGAAAACACATTTTTATGTTTATAGAACAATGCTCTAAGTAACAGGTACTTTAGGTCTGTAAGGTCATAGTAATCACACATATTCTGTTCAACATTACAAACAAGTCCAGCTGAAAATGAATAACTTCTACAAGCTTTGTAATGAACTTTTTTTTGTATTCTGCAGATGAGAATGATGTGCATCAGAAAATGAAGCATTTAAAATAAGTTATAACAAAAAAAGTGCAACACTGATCTTTTTTGTTATATATTGCTTGAGTTATTGTATCTATTCCTGTGTCAGCAGCTTATGTATTATTCAATCTGAGCGCAAAGTACTGTATATGTAAATTTAGAATTTAAAATAAGTGCCTATATTGTTTAAAAACCAGCAATACACTGCCTCACCCTGCTCCACACAGGCTCAGTTGCTCTCTATTGTTAGGTACTGTGCTGACAAAGATTTACTGCTGCTCACGCGCTCTGAGCTTCATCAAAGTGGCAGCCTCCAGCAAGAAGAAACAGGAACAGTGCTGGAGGCAATTTACAACACATACTCGTTTTGGTAGCACAATTATTAATTTGCTAAAGAACATTATTTTTTATCAAGCTGTTATGAGTAAAGTTCCATTTTAAGGGTTGCTCCTACTTTTTTGGAGGCTTTCTGGGAGTCTCCTTATTAGGAGGGTGGAGCTAGGGCATCGTAAAACAAGGAAGGCCTGTGAGAGGTTCTCTTGCTCTTCCCCTTAGGATGGGGGGCTGTGGAGGGGTCCCCAGATTGACAGCTATTGGGGAGAAGGTGATTCTACCTGCAAATGGAATAGATCTCTACAAGGGACATTGGGCCAGGAACTGGTGTTTCCCTTGGTTCTCCCTTCCAGGGAAAGGTGAAGTGTTACAATTGTGATCTGGCTGTGCAGAGTAAGAAGAATTAGGTAAAACTCTTACCAGGGTTACAAGCACTGCCAGCCTGAAGTAATCCTTCATTTACCTCATCCAATATCTGGGCAGTTACTACCTTATGCCATTATATAGATTGCTCTGTATTAACTACTGATTCAACACAAAGAAAACAAAAGACTTTTATTGCAAGATCTGGCAAATATGTGAATATCTATCCTAAAAAAAAATATCTAAAATTAAATCATGCACAGTTTAATGGGTGGTCCCACAACATAGTCAAAATGCAATAAATTATACAAATAAAACTTTACATTATGAACAGAAATAAAAAAAAATGGGTCTCCACATTTACTTGGCCACTAGTGCTGGACAGATTAGAGTGAGGAAGCCAGGTGCCTCAAATATCATACTCAGTTTTTAAATTCATTCTCAGTAGATGAAAGTGTCATGTCTCACCTATTTCTTGAAGACATTGATGAAAGACATTGGACCTCAACAGAGATCCCTGCTTATAGTTCTTTTATGGTTGTGTGCTAGTTGCCATGCAGAAATTCTGTGTGGTGGTGAGGTTGTTACCATATGTCCAGCAACAATCTTTAAAGCAGAACTAAACTTTTTTTTTTTTCATTTTGGGGAGTTAGTAATTATCTGGGTCACAATGGGGTAGATTTCCTTTTTTCTTCCTGTCTCACAACCACTGCAAGAAATGAGAGAAAATCCCTCCAAAATGAAAGAGATCCTTGATGGTCACCAGAACTAGTACCCCCTATTGGAAGATTTCCCCTGTATTCCTGTTCTGGTGACCGCTTAAAATGTGGTACCTTGTTGGTGATAATGATAACCAGGGCAATAGCAAGGGTGATCCTCCCTAATGGGGACACAGCAATAAAAACTTGACAGGTATTCTAATACCTCTCCACTATAGTGAAAACTAAAAACAAAGTTTTGCCTTCAGTTAAATTTTAATCTAAACTATCTCCACACCATCCAACCACCCCGCCAACACCACTTACCAAAAACTGCCTAAGAAAAAAAAAGAAAAAAATTCCAATAACTTTAATCTATGACTAACATTTAGCAAAAATAGTATTGGAATCTATGGTCAGCAATTATCAAACACAACATTGGGAAGTATACAGCCTACAAAGAGTTCCTGCATAACTTTGGAAATGCTCGGGGACAATTGACACCAGCAATAACAGCAATATCAGCCTCAAAAAGCTAAAACAAGGACGAGCCTCGCTCACCTCAATCACAGCCGACAGTCTCGAGGAGCGTCCTAACGTCCCATCCACTAAGCCCTGCCCTACACGCTTCATCATCCGACGTCTTCAAGGGGCGGCATGGATGACAGACGTCGAATACCAACATATATACACACTAAATCTGCATTGCAGCAACGCTGCAACCAATCGATAAGCAGCATTCTGGTGACACAATACCGCTCGATCTCTGCAGATATATCCATTATTGAGACAAATAACATATTAAATAGCCGATAAAATATATGAAATAAAAATGAAAATAATATTCACATAAAAAATAAAACAATGAAATACAATCAATATAGAATAATCTAAAAAAACTTCAAAAAATAATAAAACATATATAATCACTATATGACCCCCTATTATTTAAAGGGCCAGTATAATTAATAAAGTCAAATATTATAAACAACCAATAAACATATAATATCTGCTGATGCATATTCCAAAAAAAATAATAATAAATAATTAAATGATATTGTATTGGTCTGTAATAATCAACGAGGTGACCACATGCTGTTAGTGGCCACACTAAATAATATCAATTTGTATGGAAGACTAAAAAATCAATCTTAATCTTCCAATTGAAATAAATCATTGTATACGAACAGGATGGTCTACAACAAATTTACCATCAACAAAGGAAGAAAATTTGATCAAAAAATGCGATCAAAAAAATTTGATCAAAAATTGTGATCAAAAAAATTTGATCAAAAAATTTGATCAAAAATTGGTCAGAAAACAATTTAAATCAATGTCAATATTCAAAACATTCAGTTTTAAAGAATTTAATTTGTATATCCAAAACATCTCCCATCTGGAGGTCTCATTGATCATGTCAGTTCCCCTCCAATGTCTTTTGATTTTATCTATTCCATAAAAGGTCAATAAACTGGGATCACTATTATGTTGAAGTTTAAAATGCCTGGAGACACTATGCTTGTCATAGCCCCTCTTTATATTTAGATGTTCTCCTATTCTTCTTAATAATCTCCCGTCCGTCCCACATACTGGAAGTGACATGGGCACTCTAGAACATATACCACATGGGATGAATTACAAGAAATCAGTGTGTCGATCTTATATTTTTTATACATTGTCATTGAATAAAATTATTTTCTTTTTATCTTCGAATCTCTTTTTACTGTTTTACAAGCCTTACATTTATTACAATGGAAGAATCCTTGTAAACCAGGAAACAAATTAATTTCCTTAGGTGGGTCAATAACATTATGGGCTAATTTTGTCCGCAGCGATCTATTCTTTCCTATAGACAAATTATGGTCTAGAACAGTGGTCGGCAAGCCGCGGCTCGCGAGCCACATGCGGCTCTTTACCCACTCTAATGCGGCTCTTCTGTGTGCCGGGCGCCTGCTCCCCTCCCTCCTCTCGGTCGGCCGCTCCCCTGCCTCCTCTCGGTTGGCAGCCCCAAAAGTCCGCGCGGACCTTTTAATCCGGCCCGCGGATGTGGCTGTCAGGATGTGTGTAGGCGGGGGGCGTGCCGAACGTGAGGGGAGGGGAGCTAGGCTCCTCTCACAGTCCGCCCTGAAGACCCGAACGGCGCGGGAGAAGACAGCGAGAGGAACGCAAAAGGTAAGTGAATTGACACGGGGGACTTGGCTTACTAGAAGGGGGGAAGGGGGGATAGTACTGTGGGGGATGAAATACTATATGAGGGATGAATTACTTTATGAGGGATGAATTACTATATGGGGGGATGAAATACTATATGAGGGATGAAATACTATATGAGGGATGAATTACTATATGAGGGATGAAATACTATATGAGGGGATGAAATACTATATGAGGGGTATGAAATACTATATGAGGGATGAATTACTATATGGGGGGATGAAATACTATATGAGGGATGAAATACTATATGAGGGATGAATTACTATATGAGGGATGAAATACTATATGAGGGATGAATTACTTTATGAGGGATGAATTACTTTATGAGGGATGAATTACTATATGGGGGATGAAATACTATATGGGGGGATGAAATACTATATGGGGGGATGAAATGCTATATGGGGGGATGAAATACTATATGAGGGATGAATTACTATATGAGGGATGAATTACTATATGGGGGATGAATTACTATATGAGGGATGAATTACTATATGGGGGGATGAAAATACTATATGAGGGATGAAATACTATATGAGGGATGAATTACTATATGAGGGATGAAATACTATATGGGGGGATGAAATACTATATGGGGGATGAATTACTATATGAGGGATGAAATACTATATGAGGGATGAAATACTATATGAGGGATGAAATACTATATGGGGGGATGAAATACTATATGAGGGATGAAATACTATATGAGGGATGAATTACTATATGAGGGATGAAATACTATATGAGGGATGAAATACTATATGGGGGGATGAAATACTATATGAGGGATGAATTACTATATGAGGGATGAAATACTATATGGGGGGATGAAATACTATATGGGGGGATGAAATACTATATGAGGGATGAAATACTATATGAGGGATGAAATACTATATGAGGGATGAATTACTATATGGGGGATGAAATACTATATGAGGGATGAAATACTATATGAGGGATGAAATACTATACGGGGGATGAAATACTATACGAGGGATGAAATACCATACGGGGGATGAATTGCTATGGGGGATGAATTACTATATGGGGGATGAATTACTATGGGGGATGAATTTACTATATGGGGGATGAATTACTATGGGGGATGAATTACTATATGGAGGATGAATTACTATATGGGGGATGAATTACTATGGGGGATGAATTACGATGGGGGATGAATTACTGTATGGGGGATGAATTAC